CAAGTCATGTTTTTTGGTCATAGTTGTTGAACAACTGGAGTGGCCTGATTTAAAGTTCATGAAAAATCTTAATAATGGCTTAGACACCATAATAATGTGAGTCCCAATTCTGTCTTCATGAGCAAAGTTCACAATGATATTTTTGTTAAAGGTCTACACTGCCCTGCAGCTATACTCCATGACAAAGAGCCTTTCACAGGGGCCTCTCATTGCAGTTCATGTCTGGCACCACTCCATCATGCTCTGGGATGTCCAAGAAAAGCACTGCCGTGAAGCACATATTGATAAAGCAATTAAATTAACATTGTTCTTGACAGGCTTGTTCACCTTCTCTCTTTCCCAGGTGAGGAGAGGCTTCATGAGAAGGCCTTGTACCAGCTGCTTGTCTCTATAAAACGACAGCAACAGCCATCTCCTTTTAGTATTCAAATGAAGAATTTTGCAATCACATTGGATGACAAAAATTATATAATAGAATAAATCTCCTTCATTCTGCCTGCTTTCTGCATGTCACATGGAGTAAGAATGGAGTCGGAAATAGATAGATAACCTTTATTGTCATTTTTTACTGTGGGCACACTGGCACACATTAAAAATGAAATTCTGCTGTCTGCTCTCAAAAGTGTACGCATACATAACATACAATTTTAAAAGAACTATTATATCTATTATGTTACTAATGCTTTAGTCGATGGAAAACTTCAAAGAATGCTTTTGTTTATAATAATAGATTAATTTTTAAAGTGCATATTCATGGAAGAAAACAATAATGTGATTAATTACATGAAGATGAGTTGCACACCAACAGTACTCGGAAACTCCCATATACTGGATATTCCTGTAAACAGTGAAATTTGTTCAACAGAGATGGTTTATAAAGGGAACAGATGCCTCTTAGTGGCCAAAAGTATTATTACATAAGCTAACAATGAGTTCAAACTCTTAAAAGTATAAGCAAAAGGTTTTCTTTTGATTTCCAAAATCTCCATGTTTTGATAAAAACAATTTTAATCCATCGGTAACTCGTTTTAACACCACACAGGAGCTGCTCCTGATCCCTTCAGTTTCTATGTGATTTCACTTTAGACTACGCTACCAAGTCTCCTACCAGTGTATTTCTGAGGTGGTTAGTAATGGTAGAAAATGCCTCTTCTTCCACAGAAACAATAAGGAAAATATAAAACTCTAGTTATGAACAGCTTAATTTTATTCCTTGCATTAAGAAACCAAAACAGCATTCTACAAGAATAAATGTAACCAAGAGTAGTTATTGAACTTAATGAGAATGAATCTATCTTTGAATCTTGAGCGGTTTGCTCAGAGACAGCAGTTCTTTCACAACCAACTGAGCAATTTCCTTAAAGATACTGTATATTACAAAAACAGTATACATACTAAGTCAAACCAAATGTCCTCACTCCCTTGCAAAATGCCCAAGGTCGGTGAACAGGAACAACATAGCTCTGTTTTCCCCCCTACTCTTTCTGGCATATTAATCTTCAAGGATTGGAACTTTTTTATCTTTGTCCATCTGAATCCAGGCCAGCTCTGTTCTCTTGGCCCTGTAAGCCAAAGTTCTCACCTCTAACCAAATCTATTAAGTGATCCTCTTATTGGTGAATCTTGTCAACCCTTCTGTCTTGCCATTGGCTGAGCATGCCAGCTGATCTGTCCTCTTGCATTCTTGTAGCTGCAGGGAGAGTAAAATCTTTGTGAGGCAGCTAAGAAAGATCCATGCTTTCTTCTTTTTACCTCTTATTTATGAGGGGTCTTTTTTCTCTCCTTTAACTTGAAAGTTTTGTCCCATCTATTCTTTAACTCAGAGGTATCAAACTGCCAGCCCGTGGGCCATATGCGTCATGCCGAAACCGCGCCCATCCCATTGCCGACAATGGGAAAAAAGTCACGATACGTCGTGACACGTCATGTGACGTTGCGAGTTTGACACCCCTGCTTTTAACTCCTCAAACAGCCTCCTCCAGGGCTAACCATTTCCCCACTTTCTTATGCTATTATTCTGCAGGCAAAACTCCTCATCTTTCTATATCTATGTATATGTCTCTTTTTGTGTGTAAAGTCTGAGACTTCCACTTTCACCTCCACATTTTAAATATTTTTTCAAATTATTAAAGTATTTCTGAACTTTATTTCTTCTTTCTTTACTCCTTGCAAGACTTACACTGTCTGCAAAGTAACCTCTATTTCTTCCTTTGATCTCTATCAAAGGTAACTTAAGCCATTGTTAATTTTCGCAACTGAAAAGTTCCTATTTCCATTGCTTCTGACTCCTTCCAGTTACAAAACTTTGCAACTAGATCTATACCCACAAGTTCTGCCTTGCTTCTCATGGCAACTCTGTTAGTTGTAACAGACACAAGAAGTCATTATTCTTTTCTACTTGATTCTGGTGAAAACACATTTGTAGTATTATTCTGGGCACCACATTTTCAAAAGGTATTGACAGGTTGGAAGAAGTCATCAGAAGTGATACAGGGACTTGAAGATATGCCTAATGAGGCAAAATGAATCTGGGATGTTCAGTCAAGAACAAAGACTGAAGGGAGAAATGGTAGCTATTCCAGTTCTCCCTTTTGAAATATATATATATATATATATATATGTTTAATACTAAGGTGACCAACCGTCCTCTTTTAGGGAGGACAGTCCTCCTTTTTAAAGTTCTGTCCTCCCTTGAAAAGTGTCTTCCTACATGTCCTCCTTTTCGATATTTGAAGACTAATCTGCAGGGCTTTTTTCCCCCTCATAGAACGCTCAGAACGGTGTTCCGGCACCTTTTTTGATGGTTTTTTTTTTCAACTTCTGCATGAGCTGTGCTACTCCCACTATTGGCTTTCGAAAGCCAATAGGAATTTGCTGCCACCCGGCCGGCAAACTTTGCACATGTAAGTTGTCTGCAGCGAAGGCGAATTGGCAGGAACTTTGCACCCTTCCCTGCTACCCAATTACATCATCTCCTAGTTAGTCCCGAAGATATCTGGAAGAGCCTGGAGCGGTGACGCCACGGTAACTTTCTCTTGATCTTCGACCCTGCTAGGGCAATAATGGCTGCGGGCGCAAGAGGCAGGGGCAGCGGGGCTGCTGCGGGCGGGAGTGTGAGGGGTGGCGGTGGCCGGCTGCCCCCCGTGCTGTGGGAGCCGCGGGGCCTGCTCTACACAGGGCTGCGCAGGGTGGGCGGTGGTGCTGGCAGGGCGGCTGCAGGTGGGGTGTGTCGACGGTGGGCTGCCCCCCGGGGCCGGAGCTGGCGCAGCCGGTGCTTTGGGAACCATGAGGCCCACTCTACACGGCGGGGCAGCAGTGCTGGCGGGGCGGCTGTGGGCAGGGGCGCAGCATGTAAGCATAATTACAATATAAAATGTTATTGTTACAAATGTTTTTATTATGCATTTATCATATTATAGTGTATTCTGTATTATTGTTGCAATGAATAAAATGTTTCTTTTATTTACGATATTTTTTTTCTTCAATTTATTTGTGTCCTCCTTTTCATTGTAAAAAAGTTGGTTACCTTATTAATACATTCCTGACCTTAAGATTTCTATAAAGTGGAACAGTCTCCCTGTAGAAGTTGTAGGTTCCCCATTTCTAAAGGTTTGTAAGAAGATTACCAGAAGGCTGCCTTATGGATGGACTGATTGAATTTTCTGCACATTGCAGAGGGTTAGATGTTTTTTATGGTGTTTCCAGAACTACAGTTTCATGGTTATATGATTGCTATTTTTGGGCAGATAGCCATTTCCTTCTTTAGACTGCAATCCTTCCCATTCTGGATATTTAAGTTTCTTCAAGGTCAGCAAGCACTCCTTGCATTACATGCTCAAACTTGACAAACACTTGTTCATTTTTGGCAGCAAACTTGGCTTTTACTGTTGACTTCTCTTTCCCACCCTTCACTGGGATCACATGATTGCCCTTTCATTATGCTTTTAGAAACTCTTTCCAGTTAGCATGAAATTCTATTTATCATTGCTCTCATTTATTAAATGTGTTTTTGAAGTCACAGGTACAACACTTGCCCAGACTTAGCTCTAGTTTTGCTTAATGTAAAATGTAAAAAATGTAATGTAAAAAAAAATATATCCAGCTTTATTGATCATTTCCCCCAAAGTTCTTATAGGACATGGGATGACATGATAGCGGACTTCCAATATCTAAGGGGCTGCCACAAAGAAGAGGAGTATAGCCTATTCTCCAAAGGACTTGAGGGCAGGACAAGAAATAACAGATGGAAACTTGTCAAGGAGAGATCCAACCTAGAATTCAAGAAAAGTTTTCTGACAAGTCAGAACAATTAACCAGTGGAAAGGCTTCCCTCCAGAAGTTTTGGGTACTCCAACGCTGAAGTTTCTAAGAAGAGACTGGAATATGTCTGGAATTGTATAGGGTCTCTGCTTGGGCAGCGGTTAGAAGCCCTCCAAGGTTCCTTCCAATTCTGTTATTCTGTTAAGTAATTACGGCGACACATTAGAGCTGGTGTAAGAAGAAAATAAAGCACACTGTAAAAATTAACGACGAACCACAAGGAAGTGCGTTTGAAGAAACTGTTATTTTCAAAAATACCTTCAGGCGGGGAAAGCGTTGAAATATCGATGCGTCAGATATTGACCACCTATCGGTTCTGCTAGCCAAGCGAACTCCCCAGAGAGCATTTTAACCCCCTGTTCTATCAATCAGTTCATCCGCAGGCTCCTCCCACTCCCCTCCCAAAACAAAGCACCTATCAGTGGTGAGAGTCTTTCTCCAGGTCACGCCCTTTTCTCTCCCGGCCAATTAGGCTTTACGGCGGCGAGTAGAATGTTGTGATTCATAGGTACTCTTAAGGCGGGGAAGCGCCGGGCGGCAATTGCGCGATTTGAGTTGCAGTGTTGCTAGGCTACGGGGCTTCCCTGCAACACAAATCCGCTTGGGACTGGCGTCCGGAGAGCAGAAAGAGACAGGAGGCGGCAGGCGCTCTTCCTTTCTCCCCACCGCCCAATCAACCCTTTCCTTCCCCCTCTAGTATTCAGCCTTAGGGACAAGCAGGCGGTTCTCCAGCCATGAGCAACGAGCAGGTGAGGGAGGGAAAGGGGGTCCCCTCCTGCCGGCTTGCGCCATCCTAAGGGTTCCCTTCTCCCGACGCGCCACAGATCCAATCCTCAGGGTCGGCACTCCCGGCTCTTTCCTGCCTCCGAACCGTTCCCGGGATCTGAGGAGGAGAGGCCAAGGGGTCCTGGTAATAATAATAATAATAATAATAATAATAATAATAATAATAATAATAATAATAATAATAATAATAATAATAATAATAGTAAAGTTGGAAGGGACCTTGAAGGTCATCTAGTCCAACCCCCTGCTCAGGCAGGAAACCCTATACCATTTCGGACAAATGAGACAAAAGAGACCCTAACCTCCTCCAGATATTTAGCACTGCAGTTCTTAACCGCTCCGGGCGGTTGGCTAAGGACTGAAAGTTGCAACCCAACTTTCTAATTGCCTACAATGGCTTTTCGCTCGATCCAGGGGTCTGCAAAAGGAGGTTCTCCAAGGCTTGAAAGTGCCCAGTGTGGGTTTTGATACATTGGTTTTGTGCCACCAAGCATTATTTTGCTGTGGTAGAAAATGGGACGAACCTCCAATAACGATAAAATAATAGCCACTTATTAGTAATAGCCAAATAATTTGCAGAGGAGATTGTCAGACTCCTAAGAGCGGAAGCCATTCTCAAAAGTTGGCAGTTGGTTTTTCAGGAGGCCCATCTTTCTTATCCTGAAATCTTTATTATTGCCTCCTCCTCCCTCATTTCACTGCAATATTAGGAAACCTTGCACAATTTTCTCTATTGTCTTCAGGGGTCCACATATTGTGCTGTAAATTCAGTTTCGATCAGTAGTATGTTCCCCACAGTGGTAAAGGGGTTTTCCATTTGGTCAGGAACAGGTCCCTGAAGCATATCCAAGTAAACCTATAGTCTTTGCAAGCTGTAGGGCTCCCTCGGTTCATAATTTCAGATTCTGAAACTCTGTGTTTTGTATACCATCCAAATTTCCAGCTAGATAATACTCACACATCCTTGAAATGTGGAATACATTTCTTATTTATGCTCTTATGTAAATTTTACTTCAAGGAACTCAAAGTTTACATATAGGTTTCCTTTACCTGTTTCAGCCACGCAACAACCATGAAGCATGGAAATCAGAGTGTGGTTATGCTTGTAACTGACCTATAAATTAATTATGGTGATCTTTTAGTCTAACATGCTAGGAAAATCCAGCACCTTCAGTCAGTTGATGGTTCAGTGGGTTCAGTTCCAGAAATGTGGATTAACTAAGTAAAACATTCACTGACAATGAACCACAAACCAACCAAATATAACTTAACTTAGCATGTGGTAGAAACCTGACCTTTATGATTAGTGTAGTCATTCAACTACATAAATTGTTTAAGTGCAAAATCCATTGTTAGTCATCCATGGGTGTGTATGTGTGTGTGTGTGTTATAGGCATAGCATATCCAAAACTTGCAGGATCACATCATCTTGTCTAGCCTTCGGGTTCTTCTAGTGTAGCATAGATTATCTGTGGTCCTCCAGATGTTGCTGTACAGTATTACAATTTGCTGCAGTGCTGGTCACAAGGCCAGCGGTGAGGGATGCTAGAAAGTTGTCACTAGTTATCTATGCCAAAGTATCATGGCTAACATATCTGTCTAGCTTGCTACAGGAAACAGGAGGCTGGATTAAGAAATACCATTGGCCTGATCAATAGGGTTCTTATTTCTGTAATTGTATCAGTGGCTGAAAAACAACCATAACATCTTCTAGAAATTTGTTCTCTCTTTGTTTCCTGGAACTGTCCACTATTTACAGTAGGATAAGATGAAGTGGAGCTTCTTGTGCAGCTGGTCAGGGAATTCTGGGAGTTGAAGACTATACATCGTAAAGTTACTGAGACAGAGAAAACTGCATTAATAGGTCTTTTTACAGCCCTAATTTAAAGCATGATTCTGGTGGCTTCCTCTGTTGCTTTATCAAGTGTTTATTGGTTACAATTAGACTCTGTCTAGATATTCTTCTGAATAGTCAGATTTACATAGCTTTCACCATTCTCCTTTTCCCAAGTAGTAGCTCAAGGGTTACTTATAAAACAGGAGAAAAGGATAGAAACACTAATCAGTAAAATATGTGTTTATATGAAATTTAAAGTAGCAACAAAGAAGGAAAAAAAAGATATCTGTAGCTCAGAGTTGAATTGTGGAATACTTTCTGCTCTCTGAGTCTGGTTGCTTTTTTGCAGACATTTCATTACCAAACTAGGTAACACCATCAGTGCTAGAAGGGAGTGGGGTTTATTGTCTGTTTATGTACATGTTGTTTGCCCTGTCAATGTTGGTGGGGGAGGGGAACGCCGATCTTTTCTGAAAAGTTATTGAGTAGGCTTTCTTTTTTGCTCTTTAATGAAATGCACCATATTTGTATTATTTGTTTATCTTTATTTGAAAAATTAATAAAATTTGTAAAACTGAATGTTGGTGGGAGTGTTCTTGGTGGTTCCTTGATTAGACTGTTGTTTACTTGTTTGTCTGAGTTGGTAGCTCCTTGATTGAGATATTGTTTACTTCTTGATTGTTGGTCTAGTATTAATCTTGATGTTAATTTCTGCTTACCTGGATGTTGATTCCTGGTGAGGAGTTGTTTTGGCTTTTTTTTATTTCTTTTTTGGCTTTTTTATTGTCTCTTTTGAACGGTATGTAGATGTTTAGGTGCCTATTGATGCCTGATTTTTCAGACTGCCAGGCTTCCAGAAATTCTCTAGCATTTTTGTATTTCAAAACACATGGACAACTTAAGCATAGTTTCAGCTGGGAAATTGTGAGCAACTGAGACCAAGCCAAATCCAAAACACAGAACTAAACAACAGAGATTAAGCAGAAATTAATGCCAAGATTAATACTGGATCAAACAATCAACACTCCCATAAGCATGTGTTTTACTGACAGGGCAAGCCAATAGTATATAAAAAGGGAGCAATCCCCATTCCCTTCTAGCATTGATGATGTTACCTAGTTGGGTAATAAAACATCTGCAAGAAAATGATCAAGCTCGAGAGAGCAGCAAGGGCCCTACAGAAAAAAAAGAAAGCTCAAATATAAATATATTTTAGGAAGTGAGGCTGAGAATCAATTGCTTGCGTCAAAAAAAAAGTGTCTTCTATTGCTGGTGGAATACCGATAAAAAAGGAACATGATGTAGCCTTTTGGGTTTAGGCTACTAAAATGAAGACAGCTTGTTGGCCATATAAGGTGCTTGGGGAAAAATATATTGTGGGCCACACTTTATGGAGGACGGTGTATTTTTCATGGCAAATCATAAATAGAGCAACTATGAAGAATGGGTGGCAATGGGTGGCAAAGCTGCAATGGGATCATGTAAACCTTGAAGTAAACTTTTAAATCTTGTTTTTAATTGTGAGCATCCTAAAGCTATCTGCCTATTGCTGAATTGTTACTTACTTAGTTGCAACTCACCCCTGGCCAAATCAGGTTGTTACCTGCCTCTCTCATTTTTTTACTCTCCTGATCTGCTTCAATGATGTCTTGCTTGCAATAAATTTGAGACTAGTGATTTTATTTAGTATAATTGTAAAAGTGAAAGACACATACATGAATTTTCCCCCTTGATGGAAGTTACTGTTTAAATCTGTTAAAAAATATCCACACATTAGAAACTAAAATCCAGGAAGAGGCTGTAAGAAGATAAACGTCTCCTTAGAAGAGTTGCCTTTTAGTGGGAACCAAAGTTGGAATGGATGCATGTGTTAGGTTTCAACAGTAGAGGGCAGTCTTTCACCAATGTAGTGCCAATTGCTTTAGCCCAATGGTTTTTTTAGTATTACACTAGATATATGCAGGCGTTATTTTTTTTTTCTTTTGAAGGCATGATTTTGGGGGGTGGGTGCTGTTTCGTGTAGAATAAATAGACTGGATTTTTTTTTTAATGCTTCCCCCCTTTCCTCTGTGACATTTACTTAAATATGCATGCTGTTTGAGGAAGGAGCAGGTGGTGTAGCCATATTTGTTGAAGGAGACTTTCATATATTTGTCTCATTAGTGGGAAGTTGATTGCAGGATGACGTCCTTGAGAAAAACAAAAAATGCAGCCTGAGCCCTTTAAAGTCATACATTTAAAAGGAATCTAATCCGCTGTGCAGCTGTTCATATAATTTTTGAATTAGTTTCTGAAATGTAAACTTAAGCAGATAGTTTGTAAGGAGGGGTGTTGTTGTCCTCACAACATCTTCGAGTGCCAGAGTCTTTTTCCTAAAGGCATTTTGAATAGTGTGGAAGCAAGTTATCACAATGGGATGCATTTTGGAGTAAGGGAAACCGAAATTGGTTTTCTTTGACAATCATGGAATACACAAACACTTAATAGAGAATAAGGTATTTTAAAATCCACATCTTTTTTCATAAAACCATTTGCTGCGTTGTTAGAATACAGCTTTTAACCCCATCCAGTTGACCCAAATGTTTTCCCTCTAACATCAGTCTGTGAAGTAGACCGGCGGTCCCCAACCTTTTTCGCAATTAGGGAGCGGTTTTGTGGAAGACAATTTTTTCATGGACTGGGGGAGGGGAGGACGGGTGTGCAACCTAGATTTTTCTCATGCAGAGTTTACAATAGTTCACACTCCTATGAGAATCTGATGATCTGAGGTGGAGCTGAGGTGGAGATACTAGCGTTGGGGAGCGGCTGCAAATATAGATGAAACTTCACTCACCCCACTGCTCACCTCCACGGTTCCTAACAGTGTGTGGCCCAGGTGTTAGGGACCCTTGATGTGGACACTGAATACCTTTTCTTAGTCCAATGAATGCAATGTGTGGTTCTTTGGATCAGGTTCAGGCAAAGTGGTGTCCTCCAGATAAGAGGAACCACAACATTCCGTGTGTTTCAGCCTGCTTGCCCAGCGGCAAAGAGTTCTGGGAGATGCAATCTACAAAGTTGCTTTACCACTGGATGTTGGAATGATAGGTTTGTTTAATTCCCCGCTCCAAGAGTGGATAGGATTCTGACAAGGGGAAGGGATGGGATCAGACATTGGATCCTGTGTTTTGGCTCCAGATGCCTCTATGGGTGAGTATTTCTGAGCCCGGGAGCCTATGAAAGCTCTGGAACAAGGAGAGCTGGGGCTGGGCAGAACCCAAGGGGGAGAGATTGATAATTCACACAAACCCCAAATCCATCCCAGCCCCCTACCTTGCCCCCAAGCACTTTATGCCTATGATTGATTTTGCTAATTAGTTGCCTTGTTATATGGTGCTTTTTATATGTTTTTTTTATTGTGTAAATTGCTGGGAATATTATCTAGAATGCAGTTTGTACTGAGCACTCACATCTCTTTCGGTGGGCCCCAGAGAGGGCTTTGTTTAAAATTTGCATTTGATGAATTGATTGTTACTCAGTTGGGTCTTCCAAAATTGAACCGTTTATAAATTAGAAGTTTCTAACCAGCAGAAGGGTCCCAGGATTAAGTATAAATAGAGGGAATTTTCCCAAGCAAAATGCTTCCAAGGCAGCAATCCTGCCAAGCGTATTAGAAATTTTTTTGGGGGGTTGACACGGGTTCCTTTTTTTTTTTTTGTCGTCGGTTTGAATTGATCATTTTCATAAATTACTTAACCACAAGGGTGTAAAATTGGCTACTAGAAGCAGCAAAGTGTGAGCTTTCTGTGCACCTTTGCTATAATATAATGGTAATATATAATGGTCCCTGCCTGAGTCCATTATATAGTCCATTGGGCTGGGGCGTTATATGCACCAAGGGCCCCACCTCCTGGCTTTATTATTAACAGAGAGATGTCTTGTTTTGTATATACACAAATTAAACATTTTAATGTTTTTTAGTGTTTTAAGGATAAAATTTTTATTGATTTAAAATGTTTTTAAGATTTTAAGTGTAATATGTGTTTTTGAATTGTGAGCCACCCAGAGGCCTTTGCTGAGATGGGTGGCTATAGAAATCAATCAGTCAGTCAAACAAACAAATAAACATCTGGATTTTTGCAGTAGTTCAAGTTTACAAAAAGTAGAGCAGGTACTTCTGTTCTTCCCTGAACACAGGGAAAAAAGATGGTGTAGTGTAGAGCATGTTATCAGTACCAGTACAAGCCTATCTATGTTTATTCAGAAAGAGTGTCTTAATGGAATTTACTAATAATTGTGGTCTGCACTATATTTTAAAATTTCAGATTGAGAAATAAACATGTATGTTTTGTTCTATCTACTGTTTGATCCTCTTACAGCCCAAGCCGCCCAACAAAGGAAAGTTGGAAAATATTACTACAAAACTTTTTCCACAAGCAGATAAGGTATTTATACATATTGTATAGATAGCTAATCGCTGTAAACCTTGCAAATCATGAACATTACTGTTCTACTCTGATGCACATTAACATTGCTAATCTATTCATGTTTCTGTTCTTGACTATCCTCCAAGAACTATCATTCAACAAGGTTCTTCCCATATTCTACCCTAACAACAATCTTGTAATGCAGGCTAGGATGGCTGTTGGTCACCCAGCAATTTGCTTACTAGCACCAGAACCCTGGTGGTGCAGTGGTTAGAATGCAGTAATGCAGGTTAATTCTGCTGACTGCCAGCTGCCAGCAGTTCGGCAGTTTGATTCTCACCGGCTCAAGGTTGACTCAGCCTTCCATCCTCCCGAGATCGGTAAACGGAGGACCCAAATTGTTGGGGGCAATATGCTGACTTTGTAACCACTTAGAGAAGACTGTAAAGCACTATGAAGCAGAATATAAGTCTTTATTACTAATGCTATCTTCCTGGTGAAAGATGCCCTTATCCAATGGAAAACAATAGTAATGACTTTGATAAGATATCCGCTCCCCAGCAAACATTTGTACTTGAGAGAAAATTCAAAGTGGTTCCAGTGTTTTCTTCCTTTGCTAAGTGATAAAGTGCATTCACTTCACCTATACGGTAGAAAAGAAACTTCGAGCTCTGTATTGTACTTGTATGTGTACTAATTCTACCACAGGGATCGGCAGGCCCATTTGTTGCACCTAAAATGTGTTGTGCAGCCATTTAAGGAGTGCAAAACTCTTATTTACACATGTGCACATTTTCCCACCTGCATTTGGCCCGCCTATTTGAAATTACAGTCTTTATTCATACATATTGAACTTCTCTGTTATTAAAATATGAATTAAGGTGCAGGTTTGGACATTGGACTACTCATTGTTCAATTAGCAGTTGCCTATGATTGCAACTGGGTCAGAATCTAATCATTGTGAACTGTTGTGAAGAGAGATACCTACGTTATAGAACTGGTCCCATAAGATCTTTATATCTAGATTCAACACATTATATATTAAAAGAAAAGAATTATGCCCCCCTCCCCTTTTTTGCTCACTAACCTACGAAGCTCCTTTGCAAAACTTTGGGAAAAGATTTTATCAAGCATCACTGCCAGTTGAGAAATCCTGGCCTCTGTCTTTCAGATCAGCTGTAAACCACTGTGGCATCAGAACCTGCCTTCATTCCATCTGCGGCGAGATCAGGACGCTCACGTTCCAGAGCAGTTCATGATAAAGAATGAGCTGACACCAGGTAAGAATAAACCTGGATGTTTGGAGTGGAGGTGAAGTTGTATAAAACCCAAAATTATTCATAAAATATCACTTATGGTTTCTTCTCTCTGTGAGGGAAGATAAAAGTCTGGTTGAGCATTGAGGATTCACCTTTCTTCTCTTTTTTTTCTTCCATAGAGGAAAGAGTTACCATGTCTGGGCTGCAAACATCTGAATGGCCACCAGATGGGATGAAGGAGATGACAAATCTTTGCCGCCATCTAATGGTCATCTTATTTTTATGGCCCAAATATGATGGCCCTTCACGTTTCATGGATGAAGACTGAACTGGCTGGCTGGGCTTTGAAGGAATTGTGTGGTGATGAGGCAGAATAGTTTGTGTAGGGAGGAATTGGACAAAGCACAACAAATGGCTGAGTTCTTAGGCAAATTTGCATGCCTTTCTTCTTTTCTCTTAGAACTGCCAATGAAAATTTGATAATTTAATCAAAGTAATTTAATTTACTTACCAGGACAACTGATGTTGCCAAGACCTGACAGTGAAAATACAGAAATCTCACATGTGTGCGCAGGAGTGGTAATAGTATGTGTTGCAGTGAATGAAAGAGAGAAAGTTGTTTGTGGGTAAGAGAAAAAAAATGTGGGGAGGAGAAGGAGAATCAGTAAAGCAGTGTTTCCCAGTTTTGGAAACTTTAAGATGAGTAGACCCCAACTCCCAGAATGCTGAAGTCCTCCCACTTTGAAGTTGCTAAGGTTGGGAATAGGTTTGCTGTAGACACATTTAACATTATTATTAACTGGAGATATATTTGCTTGTTTAAAAAAAAAAGCCCTTCTCATTGTGCTCCTTTCTAACCCTAATATCCTGCTTGGGTGATAGAAAAAAAGGATCATCTTCTTCACATCACAGAGTTGTACTTCTGCCCAAGGAGATTGCGACCTCTTGTATGATATTGCTGGGAAGGGCTATAAGAGAGAGAAAGAAAAAAAAAGAAAAAACATATTTGGACTCAGATATAAATGCTTGAAGCCAAGTCTCTAGGATCTGAAAAGAGAGCCTTACTTCTGAGTTCCTTACCTCATTATTTATTTGCTTGTTTACTTATTTATTTAAATAATATAAACAGTTGCCCAATTTAGACAATGTGACAGCTTACAAGAAGGCAATCCAATCCAAGCATTGATGGGCAACCTGGCTCACATTTGTATCCTCTCTTGATGGGAGTTTGCTCATCCTGTATCTAGTTCCAGGTTTGTTGTAATAACAAAGGTAAAAGTTTTTCTAAAGGCCAGAAGGTTTGGGGCTAATCAAATATGTGTGGGTGGGTCGGATGTTTCTGTATCTCTCTCTGTGTGTATGCAGTTCTAAACGGTAGGTGTTCTGGATCATGTAACCCTGACTAGAGCATGTAGATCTGTATGTTAGAATGTTTGGCATTTATTGGGTTAAGTGCTGTCTCCTTAAGAGATGGCTTATGGGTAATGTAGTTTTAGCTAGTTAGCTATCCCATGTTAACAAGTATGTAGGAGGAGCCACTAAAGTTCATCACAGGATATCCTGGCTATGTGCCAGTTTGGAATGCCTTTGTCTGAGATAAGCATGGGACCACCGGAGGACTCAGATGGTCTCATTCCACGTTAGAAGTTGGTGTGGAGGAAGTATTAATTTCTTAATTCCAGATCATACAGATAACTCAATAAGAATGATTATAAAACAGACATTTTATTCAGAAATACTTGCAGTTATGGTTATTGCTTCTGATAATATACATCTGTTCATCCTTATAGGTAAGAAATTAATACTTCCTCCATACCAACTTCTAACATGGAATGAGACCATCTGAGTCCTCCGGTGGTCCCATGCTTATCTCAGAGAAAGACATTCCAAACTGGCACATGACCAGGATATCCTGTGATGAACTTTAATGGCTCCTCCTACATACTTGTTAACATGGGATAGCTAACTAGCTAAAACTACATTACCCATAAGCTATCTCTTAAGGAGACAGCGCTTAACCCAATAAATGCCAAACATTCTAACATACAGATCTACATGCTCTAGTCAGAGTTACATGATCCAGAACAGTAGGTGTTGCTGCTACAGGAAAGGCATGCCTTCTAGGTGTCATCAGACATCACTCTTAATGAAGGACTTATCCTGTGAGTGGGATGGGTAGCTGCCTTGAGGACAGGCAGTCTATCAAATAACAGTTTGGGGCTGCAACCATTTCTGCACAACTGGGCAAAGGCAAGGCTCTGTTTTTACTGATTTCTCCACCTCTGTCCTCCTCCTTTCCTGGATCATTGTTATTCTGGCTACTCCCCAATCCTCCCTCCTCTGACTACAAAAAGATGAAGTCCCTCCTCCCTTGCAATCTGATAGGTCCTTTTCTCTGCTGCCAGCAACATTGTTCCTTCCTCTGATGGAGGAATGGATGTAGTTTCTCTTAAGGGGCCAGGGCTTAGGATATCACATGAGTGGAGGTTCCTGGTAGGCAGCTAAGGCTTTCAGAGATCTTGTTGTTTGTGCGTTTAAAGAAATTGTACATCTACACCTTGAACTTGTTGATGCAGTTGACAACAGCAGACAATTCAGAAAGATGATGGACTACTCTACCTTCTATTCAAAGAAGATGGAATTGGTTGTACAATTTGATAGCTATATTGCATGTCTGAGCCTGTGCCAACCAGCCCCCATAAAATCTCTCATTTTTCCTCCATAAGGAGAATATTTGTCTCAAAGACCCAAGAAGCGCAAGGTAGAAGAGATTCCAGAGAGTGATCATGGGGCTGGACCATCAAGTTCAAAAACAAGACCTGACGTTAAAAAAGATCGGGAAAATTTCAGAAGCGCACTAGTTAATATCATCATGTAAGTTCTTTTGCGTTATAAGATTACAAAGCTGGTTTCCTTTCTAATTGTGATACATGCTTATTTTTAAAGCTTCAGTAATATTCTCTTGGTTTCTGAAAGAAGTCTGAATCAAAATCAGTTTGCAGACTGTTGACTGAAGGTGGATGATAACAAATTGTCGTGTTTGTTTTGTAGGCAACCAGAATCCTTTTCAACAGAAGAAGCAAAACCTGGCACGTCTGAGGCCGCAGCTGCAATAGAAAAAGATATTTTGGTAAATCAGGTCATGATTTCTTGATTGAAAGGTAGGGAGGACTGGAACAAACGTCAGGTTTAAACAAAGAGGCAGAATGGAAAGTCAGGCTCACTATTCTCATGTATCTGATAATTGTGTGCATAACTGACATTCACAAATGTTTTCCTTCTTTGGGTTCCAAATCCGCATCATTAAAACCAGGCGTAATGTGGAATTCAAATGGAACTCACCCTTATATGCCACTGCTGTGCTTTTCTAATTTTGCAGAAATATTACTATTACATTCGCCATGGAATAGATACAGAACATGTGGCCCCAATGGACGACTCATGGCTGGAAAATGTCTTAGCTCTAGTACCCAAACATTTGAAGGTACTCAGTGAAAGTATCTACACACTCTCAGATGAAATGAGAGAGGACTATCTTCTTAGTGTAAAGAAAGCAATAGGTATGGAAATAATTTATTTGTTATTAACTGAATCAGAAATGCAGGCATGGTATTATACTTTTTTTTACCCAGTTACTTTCATACAATATTCTGGAGACCCCTATACTTCCTCAGCAGCATCAATTAAAATATGATGGACCAACATTCCAGGAAAGCTTTTCACTTTTGGTTTCCACCAGCTTCAAACTATTACTGACCATCCCCATGTAATGGCAAAGCATTGGAGGATTAGGATGCTCATTTTCCGGGAAATGCCATTTTCCCATTTTCTTACATAAGTTTTCTTTGGCATCTTACAGAATTCCTCTTCCATATAATGGCTTTGGGAATGGATTCCTTCCTCACGATTGGAAGTTTGAAAAAAAAAATCACTATTTTAGCCTATAGAACGATAACTCTGAGTAGAGTTATCTGTACCTCTAAATGGATATTATTGTTGGTAAAAAATGTCTTGGAAGCAGGCATATATATTCAGTTAAAATACATAAACAAACAGGTTTTCTTTGGAAAAACTTTGTGAACTTAACTTTTATTTCTTTGTTGGCAATTCTTACCACTTATTAAGGCACTGTGAAACTTATTTCTAAGTAAGCATCAATAGATTGCAGTGTTAGTATTTTTTTTAACTGACAGATTTTATTTTATTATTATTTTATTTTATTTTATTTTGCTACTTCAGCCCTTTTTGTAGCTATTTCTGAAAAACATTCAGAAATAAACTTTTGTTTTTTTTGTGTCACATGTTTTCAGCTTTTCCTACATAACACTTTTGAAGTCTTTAAAAATAATTGGTTCAATTCCTTTGGCTGTTTTTATGCTCTGCTGAGCTCATTTGTGTTCTGGTCTGTTTCTTTTAATACCTTTTTTTAGTTGACTTTGTTTTAAGAGATCCCAGGGAAAAGGAGGAAGCCAAGAAGCAAGTTCTTCCACCTCATCGTCAAGAGTAAGAAAATGCTATTTCAACATCTTAGTCTGCAAAGTATTGTATCACAGGCAAAATACTTGAAGCGGTTGGGTAAGAACGCACTCTTCTGCATAACTAGAATAGGCCCCAGTGAACGCTGCATGTCTTGCTTCCATGTCATCATGCATAGGACAGCCTTTTAAAGTCCTTCCTTCCGTGAGGGAGATGGTTGGTCCAGAAATTTGAAAAACCAATAAGTAAAAATATATACATAAAATAAAAGTAGGTTTTTGTTCACTTGATTCACAGCTGCCTATTCTACTTATCAGGAGATTGCGAAAATCTCAAGTGGAATCTTTTTCCGTCCACCTACTTCCGATTGTTTAATCAGAGGTGTGAGGTTGAATCTGGGGGTCTTTTTTTTTACATGCGTAACATGTTCTGGTGTATCCTTGGTCAGCAGACAGTAATATGGAGAGGTTAAAAACTCGATTTCTGAACAATTTAAGGAAGATTGCTGAATCAAAAGATGATATTGTTGATTAGAAAAAATATGACAGGTTATATTAGACCAAATATTTGATAGCAATAACAATACTGTAACCTGTTCTAATCAACAAACAGTCGAAAATAGTAAACTTGGAACCGTAGTGAGCCTAGTGCTTAACTATCATTATCACTAAAGCAGGGGTAGTCAACCTTGGCTCTTTTATGACTCGTGGACTTCAACTCCCAGAATTCCTGAGCCAGCATAGCTGGCTCAGGAATTCTGGGAGTTGAAGTCCACGAGTCATAAAAGAGCCAAGGTTGACTACCCCTGCACTAAAGGCTTAAAGTCCCAATGCAATTACACTTCCATCCAAGTTTACTAAAGAAACTGGCCTTCTCTGAAGTCTCATCGACTTACTAAGTTCAGAGAATCTGTAGACTTTGATGTTATAAAGGAGAACACAAGACCGTGCCAGGCCAATGTAATTTTCTCCTCTAAGGAATCTTAGACTGTGCTGCAGTGATCAGGTAAGATATATGAATTCCTATTCTAATTCCAGACTGAGTAACACTTTAGTGACTCATACTAAATGCCAATTAAGTCTAGATGCCAATTAACCTTTGATTCATGTATTTGTAAACAACATTCATAAGGCAAAAGTATGTAGTTCAGATTTTTTAAGAAGCAAGTAGCTTTCACCCAGAACTCAGAATGCTATATGCTTAATTACAATGTTTTAAGAATCTATTAAAAAATTCCTTCCTTCCTTCCTTCCTTCCTTCCTTCCTTCCCTCCCTCCTTCCTTCCTTCCTTCCTTCCTTCCTTCCTTCCTTCCTTCCTTCCTTCCTTCCTTCCTTCCTTCCTTCCTTCCTTCCTTCCCTCCCTCCCTCCCTCCCTCCCTCCCCCCTCCCTGCTGTTTTTTCCAAAAATGGCAAAAATACCACCCCTTTAGTTAATTTTGTATTGAATACTACAAGGATTGTTGTTGCAAAATGAAACAAAATAGAGATACTATGTTGATTGAAGTTGAAATCAGGGCATGTTAAGTCAAGTATACATTTAACTTTTAACTGTATATCACCCAGTGTCTCTCTGTGGGATGGGTCTAATTTGACAAATATAATAAACTAAATATGCATACAATAAGAGAACAGAATCATAAACCTTTGAGAATTCTAGTTTGCGTTTTATTAACAGCAACAGATTTTTTCCCCCAAGAAAACAAACTGGCAGTTATATATTTTATGATGTGAGTAATAATACATAAAAAGGGCATTCCCCTTTTCATGTATTATTACACACCAGGCAGCCCATTATCTTCTTTTCCTTGCTTTTTCAGAAACATTCAGGCATGTGGAACTCATCTGTTGGGTGTCTTTATGAGAGACAATCCAACAATCCAAAATTAGTAGCCAGACTATATAGAGGCATTACCAACAGGATTTTCCATCAGTGCTTCTCCCCTAGCATTTCTCTTTGCTGGGATGAAGGCTTAGGTTTTCTGGTACTAAGTTGGGTGTAGATATTTCCCTTGTTATTTCCCTTATTATCAACCAGACTCCCCACTGACTATTTTTAAAATATGATTTTAAGGAAATCAACATACTGGTGAGTTGCAAAGCAATCATTTATTTGCTGGATCACACAATGTTCCACTGTGATGGTGGAAACTATTTTGGGAATCTAAATTGTTTTCTAGTCAATTGATGGTTTTTGACTAGCCATGTCCACTCTTGCAAATATTTCATAAGAAAGTAGATTGTGAGGCAGCCATTTTGGGAGTGTATTACCAGATGTCCTCAAGATATCAAATGTTCTTCTGTTCCAAGAGTTTGCTTGCTCTAATCTTGATTACAGAGAAAGCCCAATATAAAAACCTCTAATTGGATTCAAACCAGATCCATGGAAACAGCATGACTGGTGCTTGAGCTGCTTTTCTTTTCCTTAGTCTTAATGTTAGACAATTATGTATGAAGTTAGTATGAGATGGTGAATGAGTTGCAACTTATTGTAATCCTAAATTTATTTTACAATTATATATTGGATTGCTAGTTGAATTTTGTTTGAGGCCGTTGATTATTAGTAGTTAAGTGTATTATGTATTAATGGGTAAGTATGATGTTCAAGTATGATGTTCTTTTGAGAAGTTTCCTTCAGAGTCATGATGGAAAAGCAGCATATAAATAAATGAAGGTAATCATTGAGTAGGCTATAAGCAGAGAGAAAATGTAAAAGCTCAGTTGAATTCTACAGGAAACCTTTACATTGTTGAGCAGCTTTCCTCAATCTGGCACTTTTCAAATATCTGAAGTCTCTGGATGGTCATTGCTGAAAAACCTAGGGTGAAAACTGCCCAACTTCGTGATTTCAAATATAGGAAAGCTGTTGTACAGTCTGCAACATGCATATAAGGAGATGGGATTGTGTATATCATGCCTCTGATTAATATATTTCCATGACTTGTTTTGTGTAACTATCATACCAAGTGTGATCCAAGAGGGATTTTGACTTAAAAAGGAATTTCAACAATCTCCTTTCCTTATATTTGTTGTGGTTAGAATAGCCTGTTCAATGTCTAACAAGGTAATGCATTGGCTTTACTTGAAATTTAAAACTCACCAATATAGAATAGATCCTTTGACACTGCAATTGTCTTCTAGGATTATAGTACTGATTTTTATTTTGTTTTCTTTTTCTTTAGAATGGAAGTAGTGCCAAAACCTTGGAATAAGTCCTACATTGCAGCTCGCAATTATATAAAAGAAAATTTGTATGCAGTGAATCCCACAATGATGGCTGTTCTAGATCTCTGGCAAACAACTTTTAAGTAAGCAATATTTTCAATGCATAAGCAGGGCACCTTCACAGGTATGAAATTTGGCTACCAGAATTCTGGCAGTTAAAGTGCAGCTATGTGGCAGATAATCAAATGAGAAGAAGCTGGTATGAGTTTTATATTTCATCAGTGAAAGTGAAGAATATATACATGCAATTTATCCAGTGGCGGGATTCAGCCAGTTCGCACCAGTTTGGTAGAACTGGTAGCTAATTTTTTGTTGTCCAGGCCCAGAATGGACTTCCGGAAGCGGCATCCACACAGAGAACCGGTTGTTCACATATTTGAATCCCACCACTGAATTTATTCTATCCATTTATCCATGGAAATACATTTGGGCAGGTTTCCTTCCTTCCTTCCTTCCTTCCTTCCTTCCTTCCTTCCTTCCTTCCTTCCTTCCTTCCTTCCTTCCTACCTATCTACCTACCTACCTACCTACCTACCTACCTATCAACTTTTCTTTGCCTGCCTCATTAAGTTTTAACCCAGAAAAAGTTCAAGCCCACTGTAGTAGTGACATCCACAGCAGGGGAAATTATGTATATTATGATTTCATCAAAAAAATGGAATGACTTACCTACTTGCATCAAATATCACAATGCAAGCACATAATTCAGTCATTTGTGTGATGGCCTCACAATGCATATGATATAATTTGGATATCATTATAGCTATTAAGGATGTCCATGGAATGCAGTCCTTAGGACTAAACAGCATTGAATTGTTTATTGTGAGCTGACCAGAGTTGATTGGAGTCAGGCATCCAAACTGAATTAACCAATTTACTACATAGAACTGATTCATGATCATACTTGGGAGGTAGCACAAAGCCATAATTTGATTTATTTGGTTTTGGGTTAATGCGGTGCATAAACTCAACCACTGCAGTTTGTAAGACATAATTTATGGCTTAGTGTAAAGAGAGCAGAGTTGGGGACCCCTGCTCTAGTCCCTCCCATGGCTGCATGCTCCTCTCTGTGCCCTAGGAAGGTTGCAGTGCCATGTTTTCACGTGGAAGGCCAAAAGAGAGGGAGGGGTCTTCCCACATTCAGTATTCAGTCTCCTTCATCAGAAGCTGAGTGATGTTTAAATTCAAGCCATGTTTACCCGCGCTAAACCTCCAAGAAAGGACATCCCCTGCTATTACTTACACTGATACGGATTGTGTGGGAAGGACAACTACTAGTAAGAACTCGGTGCCTGGAGTACATTCTAGTATAACCGGCCCAGTGACGAGATCGAAGAGTCGTGCACACGCCCCAATTAAACCTATAAAGGGACTTTCCCATTGACCAGCATTCTAAGCCCTGAAGATGTCGGTAGATGCCGACGAAAGCTAGGCACTTCTATTGATTTCTATGTGTTTTAAAGGTTTTTAATATTCTTAAGAACTTTTTTCTCTAAATTACTATTATTAAATTATTTATTGTATTCCCTGGTGCTCACGTCTATTGACTGACTTTGAACATATATATATATAT